GGGTGGGGTGGGGGGGGAGCCCCCGCCCTAATCTGCTTTTAATACTTTTGAGAGAGGTATTGATTTCCTATATTATAGCTTTCATCGCTAATAGTTCCATTTGAATTTTTTTAAAGAGATTTTTTTGATATGTGCACTCACCAGAGAGACAGAGAGACAGAAAGTGATAAATCACTCCTTGAGGGGATAGCCATGCTGCAGTCTCTTCTCCTCTCAGGATTTTGAGCATGCATGCACTCATGCCTGGTGTGAGTTTTAAGCCACTTTGTCCTAGATTTGAACCATGGTTGACTACATGGGAGTCCAGTAATGTAACCATTATACCATCTGCTGGTCCCCCATTTGATTCTTTTTTATGGTGTTTACTTCTTTCAGATTGTGAAAGGACTTCCTCATCTCCTGGAGTTCATTGTCTCTTTTCTCTTGCACCTTCTGGAGTTTGTTGTCTCTTTTCTCTTGCATCTCATTTTGTTTTGTAACTATGATATTCTGAATTACTTATCTGACATTTCCATGAGTTCTATTACACTGTCTGTGGATGATGAGTTGTTCTTTTCTCTTGGGGGAGAGATTTTCTTGGTTTCTCATATTTCTTTTGCCTACAAGCTGGTTTCTGGTCATCTGATGGATTATACATTTCTTCCTAATTTCTTGGAGTTAATTCTGAGGCGTGTGGAAGGAGGTGAGTCGTGCCTATCTCTCTACAGCTCCATCTCCCTGATGCTCACCCTGCAATCTGCACCATCATCACTGGAACTGGATATTCCAATGGTCTCCTAATTTCTTGAGGACAGGTGCACTTGGGGTTGAGCTGCAGGCATCAACTGGGGAAGAAAGCAAGGGTTGTGTGGCATGTGTGCTTGCACGCTTCAGAAAACTATGCAGTCTAAAGATATTCCTAAGTGGGCAAAAGGCAGATAGAGGTCTAATGCAGTCTCTGACCTCAGTTTTCTCACTGGCGGCCGCTGTGCTGGGCAGGTTCTGGGGCTAATGAAGGAGGTGGGAGGAGCAGGATGATCTGGGTGGACCTAAACCAATCCAAAGTCAGTGGAGCTCCCACGGAGGTCGCTCACTGGCCGCTACTGCTCAGGTTCCAGGGCTAATGGCCACTCCCATTGTTTTGATCCTCATTAACAAACTGAACCCCAAAGCCAAAAACAATTGGTTACCAAGTGACTATGTGAATGTGTATACGGGGGTCACTCATGTGCTATTAGGCCCAGAAAGGGCCTCAGATTCATGACTTCAACATTCTCTTCATATACATGGCATATGATACTGTTATCAGATGTTGAACATATGATTTAAAAATGCTAATTTGGGTCCAGCAGGTAGCATAGTGGTTAAGGTGCTGGACTCCCACATGCCTAACCACAATTCAAGTCCCAGACCTTGTGGCTGGAAAATCATACCAGATGTGCGTGTGCCCAAAATCCCAAGAGGAGAAGGGAGGAGAAGAGATGGGGGCATAGCCGCCTCCCTGGGGTGGGGGGGGTAATTTCTCACTTTCTGTCTCTCTGGTGAGCGCATGCACCCTATAGCAAAAATCTCTCTTCAAAAAAAAAAAAAAAATTGTGAAGCCTTATTAGTGTGATTGGCCCTCTCCAGCTCTTAGCCTCCATGAGTGGTACTGGGGAGGTTGGTAGTGGAAGGTGTGAAGCTGCCCGCCCATAGTCGGATCCCTTGGTCTCTGTTACAGACCCTGGCTTTATTGTCACATTGAGATCCACTGATTGCAGCAGGGTAGGCCTTGTTCCAACTCCCCAAGGGAATTGTGATTGGTCTAAACATGGGTGTGTCACTCAGTTCCGGCCATGAGACACCATCTTCCACTAACATTAGCTGAGCTAATATATATCTATATATCTATATCTATATATCTATCTATATTTTTTTGAGAGCTTTTTGCTGTAGGGCGCATGTGCTTGCCAAGGACAGACAGACAGAAAGCAAGAAATCACCCCCTCAGGGGGGATGGCCACGCAACAATCCCTTCTCCTTCATTCTCCTCTTGGGATCTTGGGCACACATGCACATGCACCCGGCGTGAGTTTAAGCCACCAGGTCCGGTACTCGAACCGCGGTCAACTACATGGGAGTCCAGTGGCATAGCCATTATGCCAACTTCTGGTCCTGTCTAGCTAATGTTTTCTTCCTATCAATAAAATGACTACTAGAGGCTGGGAAAGATGGGAGATGGGGGAAGAGTGAGGGAATAGAGGGATGTTGATCAGAAATGAAATTGCAGATAGGGAAGAACAATTTCTAGAGTTATGAAATACAGTGGGGAAAATATATTATAAAAGACAACAGGTTGCTAAGTATCTCGTACTCACTTTGGTATCACATAATACTAAAGTTGAAATGATACAGAGAAGATTAGCATGGCCCTGGCACAAGGATGACATGCAAATTCATGAACTGTTCCATATTTTTAAGCAGTGGAAAATAGTTATGGACACTGGAGACTGTGGAAGGAGGGTGGGAGAAGGGAAGAATATAGGGAAGGAAATCAGGGAGAAAAAACAGAGAGGCAAGACATTTGTGGGACAGAGAAATGGTTTATTGTCTGTTAATGATAACGTGTATAGTATTCTCAACTGGCCTGGTCTGAGATGTATTTCATGTTGGGTAAATTTTATTCACAAGCCAAATGATGTATAGCAATTGAATGTTTAAAGAAGAAAAAAAAATCCTTACAACAACAAAAAAGGCAACAAATTGCTAAGTATCTCAAAGTAACAAAAAATATTCAGTATTCTGAATATTTTCAACACAAGTAACGGCAAATGGTTGAGATGATGAGTGTGCTAATTCTTCAGATTTGACTGTTACACACTGTGTACTTATACTTAAAGATCACATTGTGATTTTTTTTTTTTTTGGAGAGATTTTCACTGTAGGGCGCGTGCGCTCGCCAGACAGACAGAGAGAGACATAGAGACAGAAAGCGAGAAATCACCCCCCCAGGGGGGATGGTCACGCCGCCATCCCTTCTCCTCCATTCTCCTCTCGGGATCTTGGGCACGCACGCACACGCGCCTGGCGTGAGTTTTTTAAGCCACCGGGTCCGGGACACGAACCGCGGTCGACTACGTGGGAGTCCAGCGACATAGCCATTACGCTAACTGCTGGTTCCCACATTGTGATTTTTTTGTGTGTGAAGAGTTGGAGACGGAGCAGTTGTAGCCGCATTTCCTACCTCCAGCGGCCGTCGGTTTCATTGCCTAGAACCTGGGAGGAGGAGACTCAGAATCAAATCTCTTTTTCTTCTCCTTTCTTGGTTACAAATCTCTTGAGATATATTAAGTTAGTAGGAACTTTGCTTGAGTGAGATTTTTTTTGATCTTCAGCTACACTTTTTGGCTTTGTGAGGAATCTTACCATCAATCGCAATGGCCAGCCTTGTTAGCAAGAAGACAGATCCTCCCCGTGAACTCCCGTGTACTCGTTGGGAATCTCAACACTCTTGTGGTCAAGAAGTCTGATGTGGAGGCAATCTTCTCCAAGCATGGCCAAATTGCGGGTTGCTCTGTTTATAAGGGCTTTGCCTTCGTTCAGTGTGTTAATGAGAGGAATGCCCGATCCGCTGCGGCAGGAGAGGATGGCAGGATGATTGCCCACCAGGTTTTAGATATTCATCTGGCTGCAGAGCCAAAAGTGAGCTGAGAAAAAACAGGTGTGCAACAACCTGCAGCGGAGATGTATGGCTTCTTTTTTGACTTGGATTATGACTTTCTTTCTTGCTTGCTTGCTTTCTTTTTTTGGAGAGGTTTTTGCGACAGGGCACGTGCGCTCACCAGAAAGACAGAGAGAGAGAGAGAGAAAGCGACAAATCACCTCCCAGGGGGGATGGCCACGCCGCAATCCCTTCTCCTCCATTCTCCTCTCGGGATTTTGGGCACACTTGATAAAAATCATACATCCTGGGACCAGCAGTTAGCGTAATGGCTATGGCACACGTGCCTGGTGTCAGTTTAAGCCACCGGGTGGAACTGGGGTCGACTACATGGGAGTGCAGCAACATAGCCATTACGCTAACTGCTGGTCCCAGGGTGTATGATTTTTATCAATTGTCTCCAAAACAATCTCTTGCTATGCAGGAAGGACAGTTCTTTTCACTCATTGATGAGTTAGTAGTAGCTTCCCTAACTGCAAAGGCAGTATCATTTAGTCGAGTAGCACCTGAGGCAGCTTTGAGTTCGAAGTGTATGTTTTATGTCCCACCTTAGAGTGCTGTGTGGGGCTGCTCAACACAAATGTAAGTGTGTTTTTGTGAATGGGAGTTGGCAGTCAAATATATCCTCTAGAAAATAGTGTAATAGTCTTAAGATTTGTTTTCTAAAGTTGATACTGTGGGTTATTTTTGTGAACAGCCTGATGCTTGGGACCTTTTTTTCTCAAAATAAATAAGTCCTTATTAAACCAGGAATTTGGAGGGAAAAAAATCACATTGTTTCCCCACAATTATGTACAGTTATCATATGTTAATTTAATTTCTTTTTAAATTTGCCAGATGGCACATGTGCTTGCCAGAGAGAGAAACAGCGAGAGAGAGAGAGAAAGCACTCCCAGCCGGACAAGGCCACGCCACAATCCCCGCTCCTTGATTTCTCCTCTCATCAGGATTTTGGACATGTATGCACACACACCTGCCCCATGTGGTTTTCAAGATGCTGGGGAGGAGATTTGAATGGCATGGTTTACCACGTGGGGTCCAGCTTCCTTAATTACCAGGCCATGGATTAGGCTTTAAAAATTGTTTTAATGAAAAGATTTTCTTCTTGAATAAAAGTAAAAGAACACCAAAGAAGAAGGTAAGTTTTTCCATTTAAAAGTCTATAAACCAGAGCTGGCAGGTGTCATAGTGGTTAAGGACGCTGGACTCCCACATGGCCCACTGCAGTTCAAGTCCCAGACCTGGAGGCTTGCTTCTTTGCTTTCTCACTTTCTTAATCTCTCTCTCTCTCTGGTCAAATTAAAATAAATAAACAAAGTTAAATAAAATAATTATTAAAAAAAAAAGTCAGGACCAGCAGCTAGCATAATGGCTATGTTGCTGAAGTCCCATGTAGTCGACTACAGTTCGAGTCCTGGGCCTGGTGGCTTAAACTCACGCTGGACGCTTGTGTGTGTGTGCCCAAGATCCCAAGAGGAGAATGGAGGAGAAGGGATTGCGGCATGGCCATCCCCCAGGGGGGTGATTTCTCTCTTTCTGTCTCTCTGTCTCTCTCTATCTTTCTGACAACACGGTTAAAACAAAAAACCTAAAAAAAAAAAAAAAAAAAAAAAAAGTCTGTGAACCAGTTTGATGGAGCCAGCAGATGGTGTGGTGGTTAAGGCACTGGACTCCCACATGGCTGACTGTGGTTTGAGTCCTGGGCCTAGTGACTTGCAATTCATGCTGAGCACATATGTGTGTGTGCCTAAAATCTCAGGAGGATAATGGAGGAGGAAAGATTGTGGCATGGCCATCCCCCTTGGGGGTGAGTTCTCACTTTCCCTCCAATATGTCTCTCCCTCTCTGTCTCTCTCCTGTGAATGTGTGTGCTCTATGGCAAAAAAAAAAAGTATACAAAGCAGTTTGATATAACACGTTTTCCCTACCCACCTCCACTTTTTATTGTGTACTACTTCACCGACCATAGAGAATGCAAGCCTCTATAGATATTTTACATGTCCTCACAAAGCTGATCATATAATTATCAGCATTGTGATCATATTATTGCTACTTTTTAAAATAATTAATTAATTAATTAATGTATTTATTTGCAGTCATTCACTGAACATCAATATAGTATACAAAATGAGATTTTTCCATCCAGTATACATAGTATGTTTGCTTGATCAAGGATATTACCATACATGTTACCAACAAATAATTTTCTATTTCTTGTTTCTTACATATTTTGCTTTCACCCCCCACCCCGATTCCCTACCCCTCACTCTCTGCCGACTCATCCCCTTCTCCCATATGGTTTCTGGTATGTACGGTTGTTTTCCGTGTCTTTTTCTTTTCCACATTTTATTGATCCACTAAAGATCTTAGTTAATTTTAAGACTTTCAATAGTAAGCACAGCTGATATATACATATTAATGAACACGTGTCTGATTTTAGGTGTAAACCTCAGTAAGTAAAGCAAACATACTATAAAGTAGCATCTCACTTGGGCTATAAAGCTTACTGGAGTCATAAAATAGGTATTAATAGGAATTTTAAATGTATTTTTTAATTTCAAAAAAAGTTTTAGATATAATAGGTCAAAATCAAAAAATATTAAGAGAAATTTGCTTAAAACTTAAAGCCAGGAAAAAGGTTAGAATTCAGTTCAAATAGTAGGTAGATGAACCTATTAACAGTTCAAGAGAAGACAAACATCCTGAAATATGGAAATCGAAGCATCGAAGAAAATCAGTAATGTTTTAGTCTAAAGTTAAAAAAAAATCTATTTCACTAGTTCAGACTCACATAATTAATCTCTCTTCTATTGACTCCGCACTGCTACTCTGGTCTGATCTTGCCATTTAAACTCTGGAAGTTAACATTCAGCTCTGGACTTGTCCCTATCATTAGGCTGGCCATTCTCTTGGTTGTTCCTTGTACTCTTATTTCTGTGTGTCCGACTTTAGTTTTCCTGGTATAGCACTCCCTTTAGCACTTCTTGGAGAGCTGGTCTGGTGTTGGTAAATTCTTTCAGGTTTTGTTTATCTGAGAATTTTTTTGTCTTTTTTTTCCCATATGAAAGATAATTTTGCTGGGTATAATATTCTTGGCTGACACTGTTTTTCACTTAACACATTGAATATGTTTTCCCATTCTTTCCTTGCTTGCATTGTTTCTGATGAGAGGTTTGATGTTAGCCTGATGGGATATCCTTTGAAAGTAACTTGATGTTTCTTTCCTTCCAATTTTAGTAGCTTGTCCCTGTCTGTGGTTTTGGTCAATCTGGCAATGATGTGCCTTGTGTTGATTCTGTGTGGGGTCCTTTGTATTTCTTGGGTCTGGATATTTGAGTGCCTCTCTAGGTTTGGAAAGCTTTCTTCCAGGATTTCACGGAATAGATTATCAATGTCCTTATTAGTTTCTTCACCTTCTAGGATACCAATGATCCAGAAGTTTGGACATTTACTGGTTTCTAGTATTACTCTTATGTTATTCTCATTTTTGGGGTTATTTTCTCAGTCTTTTTGATAACTTTCTCTAGGTCAGAGGTTCTATCTTCTACATCTGAGATTTGATATTCTCCATGATCTAACCTGCTTTTGATATTTTCAACGAAAATTTCGATTTTGTGTATTACTGCCTCCATCTCTAACAATTCCATTTGATTCTTTTTTATGGTGTGTAGTTCCTCTTTCCGATCGTGCAAGAACTTCCTCACCTCCTAGAACTCAGTATCTCTTTCCTCCTGCATGTTCTAGACTTAATTGTCTC